CTGGCCCAATATGGCTGCCGTCGCATCATCCAGGTGGATGCTGCACACCGGTGGTGGTTGAGGAGAGACCCCCCAACATGATTGTAAAGTGCTTTGGGTGTACAGCAATACACAATAAAGCGCTATATAAATGCATCATTCATTCATTCCCAATTAAATCAAGCAGTCTTTGATGAATGACGAATGAATAAATGAAGCAAGAGAAGGCCAGAGAGGGGAAAGAGGGAGGTAAATTAGCAAATGCACAAGTAGAACACATGGGAATTCCTGGTGAATCCTTGCTGAAATACATGCTGCTCACCAAGCCTTATAGTCCAGAGCCAGTGTAATCAGGCCATGTGACTAATCAGAACTCCTGCCAGATATCTGATCTCAACACACACGGTGTTCCAGCAACACTCATTGAATTTCTATGCAACAGTATGCAAATCAGCACAGCTCATTTTTCTGTGTATAATGTAAATACAACTTCACTAAGCTAGTTAAGCTCTGTCACTAAGGCTACGTCCACACGAAGCCAGAGCTTTCCCTATCCAATCTTTTTTTTCCCCTTCGTCTCAAGAAATATCTGCGTCCACACGAAACCACAAAACCGACACAAAACGATGTAGTATACATGCCAGACCAGTATGTGGCGCTGTAATTCTGCCACAGAGATACACTAAAAACGTAGAAGAAGACTTGGACTATGCGCATTATAAACCTTGCGCGCGGTATACAAACGAACATGGAACAATACATTTATTAATCTGTGTTAATGTTAGTTAATAAAAAGACAATCGTTCAGTGTTTGTTCATGTTTTTGTTGCTGTTCCGTGACGTAGCGGTGTCTGACTAGGGGCGAGACGTGGGCTGATGACGTCATCGTTTCAGAAAATATACGGATTCGCTGCCCACACGAAAACGCAAGGGCGGCGTTTTCAGAATTATCCATTCTGGGACCCGGTTTAAAAAGATATCGGTTTCACTCTTCCAAAAAGCTGGATCCGTGTGGACGATACGCCTATACGATACAAAATGTATGCGTATACAGCTAAACGCGTCTCCGTGTGGACGGGGCCTAAGCTAGTCTTAAAAAGTTAGTCATCTAATTATTTTTCTTCAAGACTGGTCATAACTTTTTAAAGTCAGTTACATAAAGGTAGATTGGTCTAATTTGAATTTTAAAAAGTAAGACTGTTTACCCCTAATTGGTTGAAATATTTTTTATATTTCAATGAAATAGTCTTAACATAGTGGCTGTTTATGCAACTGGTACCAGGTATACATCTAAGCCAGTAATACAAAAGTAGACTTATGCAACAGCATCTCACTAAAGAGTCAATATTTCACTAACTGCATCAAAAATGTACTGGAAATCTGAACATTGAAATGTACATCAGCATTAATGCAATAATAAAACAACTTTTCCCAAAGTGCTGAAGTGCCTTTCAGTCAAATTTTAGTGGAATTATTGACAAGTAAAAAGCAGACAATTTTTACCCAAGAGCAACTACATCAAATTATGAACGCAATGCATGTTCTTCCAAGCGGCTTATAAGCTGCCGTCTGCCAGGAACATGAATTGCAAATGCTAATGTAAATATAAAACTAAATTAAAATGGGTCTGTGTATTTATTTGTTAGTGTAAGTCAAATACACATTGATTTCCAACAGCAAGTGACATATTTTACCTTCAGTATTCTTTCATGGTCTCCACTACAGAGTGAGTTAAGGGACGTCTTGAAGGTCTTCCATGCGGGGTTGAGGTTATTCATGACAGTCTATGTGCAGAGGGGGAGAGAGAGCGATTCAGTGTCGGTTAAGCACTATCACAGAGAGATCTTAGAGAGAAATGGTTTTCTTACCTCTGTTCTGTGCACTAGTTGCTGAGTGTTGTCATCATTTTCCCTGTAGATCTCTAAGAATGGATCCGACTTGCTGAAAAAATCCTGAGGGAATAACAAACACAGAGATCAGTTGATAGCATCACAAACAAAGTGATTCTGGAGAATCTGTACATTCCATAATATGCATGATGCATCTAATGTACAAATATGCATGATGCATTTAAGCCCAGCAGCATCACCACTACTTAGCAACCCACTATTTGTAACATCCGTTTACTCACTGCTTTCACAATACTATTATATATAAATATTATATACTCAGGCCGATCCATTTAAACTGCAGTTGCGGATCCTGTTATAAGCGATATAGGTAACCGGCTAGGATGAGCATTCTATAAGGCTGTTCTTAGACAT